AACCCTGCTCCACTAGTCCTGGGGCTTCTGTCTGCGGTACACCATGCAGGCAGCAGCACCCTCACAAGGGGACAGAATGAAATGAGGAGAGCACGGAGGGACCAAAGCTTGTGAAGGCATGCGCTCTGGGCAGGTGAACAGGCCTTATTTTCCATATTTTCCTGGAATGCTGCCACAAAAGATCACCCCTTAGAATTTTTAAAGAGTAATTTGAAAAAAATTAAAATAAAAAAATGTAGCCTTTAAAACGTAGATATTCAGCCCTAGCCAGTTTGGCTCAGTAGATAGAGCGTCGGCCTGTGGACTGAAGGATCCCAGGTTCGATTCTGGTCAAGGGCACATCCCAGGGTTGCGGGCTCAATTACCAGTTGGGGGTGTGCAGGAAGCAGTCGATCAATGATTCTTTTTCATCATTGATGTTTCTATCTCTCTCTATCTCTCTTTCTTCCTTCCTCTCTGAAGTCAATAAAAATATATTTTTAAAAAAGTAAATATTTCGCCCTGGCTGGTGTGGCTCAGTTGGTTGGGCATCATCCCATGCACCGAAAGGCACATACCCAGGTTGTGGGTTTGATCCTGGTCAGAGTGCCTACAGGAGGTAATGATCTTTCTCTGTCATATCAATGTTTCTATCTCTCACTCTCTCTCTAAAATCAATTAAAATATATTAAAAAATTAAAAGAGGATATTCAGCACATAGAACGTATCACCCCAGAGGGTGTTGCAACTGAAAACAGAAACTGGCGAGGGACATGATTTACTGAGAAGACTCAGAGAGTTTCAGAGAATGCCACTGAGTTTGACAGCACTTCCATGAAAGGCGACCGACTTCTCAACACGCCTCTCAACATCTTGCCACAGCCCCTCGGACAGGCTCAGGAGGACACTGGCTCAGAAATGGCAAATCACTCCTCGCTCCCCGCCAACTGCCAAGAGAGTGACGCCACTGGACAGTTTCAAAGCTGTTTGTTGAGAAAATGGCCACGACCAGGGTGCCAGGATACACATGTCAGCAGATGTGACAACTATGGAATTTTCCTAAGGTCTATAACAAAGGAGCAGGCAATACATATGGAAAAGCATTAAGGCAAAAACCAAAACAACAACAAAAACCCTACTGAGGCCCTAACCGGTTTGGCTCAGTGGATAGAGCATCGGCCTGCGGACTGAACAGTCCCAGATTCAATTCTGGCCAAGGGCATGTACCTTGGTTGTGGGCACATCCCCAGTAGGGGGTGTGCAGGAGGCAGCTGATTGATGTTTCTCTCTCATCGATGTTTCTAACTCTCTATCCCTCTCCCTTCCTCTCTGTAAAAAATCAATAAAATATATTTTTAAAAAACACCCTACTGAGCCTACATAATGGCTGAAACACCCTCAGTTAGGAATGATGCTTCTGAGGAACTTGCCAAAATAGGCTTAATTTTAATTAAGTATTAATTAGTATTAATTAATTTCCCATTCTTTCCCTTTGGGTCTTCTATGGCAGAGGCCAACTGCAAAACAGGTACATTTCTAATGTTCATGTAGTTTATCTGGTACCCCAACCTGGACATTGTCACCGCTGAATTTTTTTTTAAGTCACAGCTAATAGATTCTGATCCATTTAGAAACTTCAGGGCAAATAAAGTTGAACAATCGCTCCAAATCCATTCTAGAGCCCCCTCTTCATGGTAAACAAATGATCCCAAGGTAAGACAGCACTGAGCTCCCAAGGGAAAGCCAAGTCCCCTTCTTCATTCTGGTCATCTCTTCCCTCCACACCTGTCTTGGTCTGTCTGTAACGTGGAAGATAAAGGCTGCCCTTTGCAGCCCTTTATTAGACACATGAGTTAGAAGGCCACTTCCTGGGGCTCCTCAGGATGACATCAAGTTCACAGAGGGTCTGTCCCCAGACCCTCAAGGGCTTTCTGCCTTTCATCTTTCCCTTTTGCCCTATGTGATTCTCCACATCTTAGACTAACAGTAGAAACACAACATGATGAAATTTAGCACAGGATTTCTGTCTTTCTCCACAAAACATAATTAAAGTCATCTTACTAAAAAGCTATATATACATTTCCTGCAGAGAGAGAGCGAGAGAGAAATGTAGATCCAGTTCCAGAAACTATTTGGAAAGGAAACCAAAAAGCACATCTTTCTGTTCTTATCGTTTCCGTGAAGTGCTGACCCAGCCTGGCTCTTGCACACGAATCTTTGATGGGGGTGGAGGGGACTCGGATGGTCAGAGCCGTGCCCTGTTCTGACGCTGGTCTCGTGCAAGGTCTCTAACGGGAACGGAAACAGACTCCCTTTGCTATGTGCTGTCTTGCAAAATTGACTTCATTTTATTTTTGTTGCACTCCATTGTGTTTAATGAAAAACTTCTCGTGAGTCAGGATTCGGAAGTGGCTGCTTACAGCTGTGTCTCATAAAAATCCCAGTCATGCATTAGGAACAGAAGTAAAACTGGCTATCGCTGCAGTGGTAACATACACATGATGGACCCAACTCTCCAATGTACTGCGTTTTAACCCTAATTTTCACGCTCACCTTTTGTAGCATTTGTAAATTATCCCCTGCTCACATCCCCTATCCCCCCAAAACAAAGGTATGGGCTCCTGGGTCCTGTTGTAGAAAATTCTGGAGTCCTTCCGGTAAATTTTTCAATATATTACTTTCCTCTTATGCTTTCTCTTTATACAAAACTAGGCAAACATGTGCCTTTTGGCTAGGCAATAACTTATTTGAAGAGGTCACCACCTATGTCAAGCAAGAAGGAACCTTTGGGCTCCTGGAAGGGCACCAACCAGACTTGTCGCCGACCACAGTGGGACCAAGAGGAGGGGAGGGAGGGGAACTGTCCAGTTGGGGTCTTCTCCAGGAAGCTTCTAATCTTACCATGTCCTTTGTAAAAATGAAGTCAGAGGTGCCTTCACTGCCAAACTGTTCCTCCCTTTATTCCTCCTGCCTGGAGTCGAGGGCCAGCCTCTCCGCAGCCACCTCTGAGGTGATGAGCTAGCAGGGGGGGCCTAGAGGGTAAAGCCAGCCAGATGAGCCCAGTAAGGGGTGGGGGGAGGAGGAGGAAGAGGGAGATGGGCCAACTAGATCAGCAGGGTGGAGGCTGGAATGAGTGAGGTCAACTGCTGGATAACTCCTGGCAACCAGAGACAGCGTTTTAACCCAGCCAGGCCCATCTTCCCTGAATGCCAGGCCTGACTTTAAGAACTGAAGGGACCCGGCCATGGTGCCTCAGGGGTTGAGTGTCGACCTATGAACCAGGAGGTCACAGTTTGATTCCCGGTTCCCAGTCAGGGCACATGCCTGATCCCCAGAGGGGGGAGTGCAGGAGCCAGCCAATCAATGATTCTCTTTCATGATTGGTGTTTTTCTCTCTCTCTCCCTCTCCCTTCCCCTCTGAAATCAATAAAAATATATTTTAAAAAACTGCAGGGGACACATGGCTGGCTGAGCACCACATGTTACCCTGGAAAGTCACACACAACACGAGTTTTAACAGAAAGTTGACTGGTTACAGCCCCCCTACCTGCTCAGTCAACAACGCATGGACAGGCACTAACTCTGTCACTGGACCCCCTGTCTGAGGGCGCTCTTGCCCGAGGATGCTGCATGTACTTTTTGATTCAGAATAGGCAACTGACTGGCAGGTCAGAGAGCCTGACTCAGGCAGCCTTATACTCCCCCAAACAACGGTAAATGGAGAAACACATGGAGCTGGAATTAACTCCTGAGAATAAGTTCTTAAGTGGTCACTCTAAATCAATAACAAAGAAACAGAATTTCTGGAGGATGAGGCCCATAAATCAGGATTTTAAAAAGATTCCCAGGTGATTCTAATGTGCAGCCAAGGTTGAGAACCACTGCTCTAAATTATACTTCACAAAGTGTTTTCTTGCACCCCTCGTTCCTGAGAAGTGAGGGTCGTCTTAAACCTGTTTTAAAACTGTAACACACCCCAAATCACAAGGGTTTTAAAAACAACAACCCACCAGTTCTTTCAGATCTGTAAAGAAGAACCAAATCATTAGAAATAAAACCTGTGATGCAGGACGCTGCTGCTTCCTTTCTCGTTAACCGTGACTTTATCCTTAATGCCCAGTAACTTCGTGCACAGTGCTTCCCATTTATAAAAGGGGCTGTGACATCTCTATTAAAAACGCCACAGCAGCAAAGCCTGCAGAACTCTCAGACATTTATGAAGAATCAGGAATCTAGATGGATGCGTAATATTTACAGGATGCCAACGCTATGGCTGTTTGGAACTGTTTAGATAGCTGCTTTATGCTGATGCAGCCAGGAATTATTCAAAGAAATGGCACCTGAATTACTGTCTTTACAAAAGCACTGTGTGGTTACAGCTGAGGTTCAAACTACAGTGGGGCCTTGACTTACGAGTGTCCCGACTAACGAGTTTTTTGAGATACAAGCTGTCTCTCAGCCGATTTTTTGCATTGAGTTGATAGAGTAATTTGAGTTAACAAACTCCTTAAGGAGCTCAGTCTCAGAACGAATTAAACTCGTAAGTCAAGGCCCCACTGTATTCCTTTCAGCTCTGATCTCTGAAGGTAAGAGTAATTAATCACGTGGATAAAGTCCACGTGTTGGATAAATGAGCGAGTCTGCTCTCCTCTAGTTGGGAGGAGGGGGGCGGTTGCCAACATCTGCTGACAGGTGATGCTAATATTCCCGGGTTAACCTTTTGGTTTTTTCCTCCAGGTCATTTGGGTCTTTGAAAGCTACTACTTTACTTAATGGTGTTCGTGGACTGCTATCTATGTCAGCTACTGGGGCCCCTTACTCATTTAGCTTACACCTAGGACGTGGCACAAAGAGTAACATGGTAAAGGTCAGATTTTTATACTAACTGCCCTCCCCTCCCCTTTTTTTAACCAAACAGCAAAAGCAGCACAAAGGGAATTTAACAGACAACAAATTCCAGTCCCACTCCACAGCGGAAAAAAACTCTGCAAGTCAGGAAGCAGGCCAGATGCTGGCGGTACCTTTGAGACGGACAATTCCTTAGACTTAGACTCGAACAGGTGCTCCAGCCTGGAAGTGTCCACCTTGATAGGTTCCAGTTTTGACCACAGGAATTCTCTGCAGCGCCGGTTGTTCTTACACGGCCACTCGAAAGGCCGCACTTCATTCCAGAACAGACGGATGGTCTTCTTTTTCTTCGTGAATGCCGGCTGACCCCTGGGTACCTGGGGCCACCCTAAGCCCTGAGGAGCATTGAATACTGGAGGAGGAGCCAATAAATTACCGGGGATGGGAGGGGGAGGCACGCTGTCCAGCAAGGGTGGAGGGGGCGGGGGCGGCAAACCCAGAAAGGTAGGTGGCGGCGGGGGAGGCGGCCCAGGGGCCTCCCCGTGACCCAGGTCCACGTCTAGGACGTCGATGTCATCCTCCTCTCCCAGGTCGGTGAAATCCATGTCTTGGATTCTGAGCTCCCTTGGGTTGGCCATGAGCTGGTCCCAGATGTGGTCGGACTCGGTCTTGGGCTGGGGGGATGCTTTCTCCGGGACCGTGTCATCGGGCTGGGTGTCGGAGGAGACAGGCCCTCTCCCTAGGTCCCCGCTGTTGAATTTCTCCGCGAAGGCTTTCACGCTGCCCCTGTTGTCCAGGCAGCCCACGTCCACCCTCCTGACACTCTCGTCCTGCGCCAGGGAGCTGGCCTGCAGCGTGGATATCCTGCTGGCCAGGCTGGGCACCGCCTCTGCCCCCTGCTCAGCGCCCACGGGCTCGCCCTCCCCCTTCTCCTCGGCATCCGTGGGCTTTCTGTTATGGGCATACAGCATGTCCAGCATGAAGCGTTTGTTGGTGAGGATGTCGCCACACTGTTCATTTACACTGGCATCCTGAACCCCCGCGGACCACAAACCTGAAAGCAGACAGGAGAGAGAAAAATGAGAAAGGCGCAGGGCCACACCCCGAGAAAACCAGGTAGGGAAGCTGTGGGCTTTCTGTACACGGCCACTCAGAGGAGACAGGGAAGCAAGACCCCCGAAGAGGAAGGCGGTCATGGCTGGCAAAACGTCCTCGACCAGGTGCAGATGCTGCATCTAACGCCCAGTGACCTGCTCCAGGACCCTCGACGCCTGTAGGTGTGACACTGCCCAGGCTCCTGGGAGACTTTTCCTGACCTTCACTACTCACCATGACAGCTGGTCAGGACCCAGCCACAGGCGACCAAGGGGCTTCTGTCCTAAGCACACAGGGAGGCAAGGAAGATGCTCCCTCCCCCAGAGGCCTCTGAGAGGCTGTGGGGTTATTTCCATCGCTCTCCCTCCTCCACATCGCACCAGGGCAGCTCAAATCGCCCAGAGAGATGCATACACCACGCACTGGTTGCACTTAAAATTCAGGAGACCCTTAAAGCTGCCTGGCTGTCTCTCTAAGACCTCCCTAGGTGACCTTTCGCACCCTCTTCTCTCCTCTACCCCCCTCACCCATCTCATCCTCGCACAGCGTGGCCCTGCTCCCTAGTTTAACAACTTCACAAAGTCAGAAAAATCTACCAGGGCTTTCATTCCGCCTCCACTCAACCACCTGCACCTGAACATGGTCTAACTTCACCCATCTTAAAAAACACAAACAAAAAGCCCACCATTCACTCCATGTATCCCTCCTACTATAATCCAACTTTTCTCCTTTCCTTTAAAGATGCTGATGAGGTGTTTGTGTGTTTTGTTTTGTTTTGCTCACTGTTTCCAGTTTCTCTATTTTCTCTTGAATGGGTCTCAGGAAGTTTTTGCTCCCTCCACCTTTCAAACCTGCTCCTTTCCAGGCGACCGCCGCCTTGCCTGCTACACTAGCCCCAGCTGCTCACCCTCCTCCCTTACTTAGATCCTTCACTTGCTTCACTTGGCTTCCGGGACATTGCACTCAGCTGGGTTGCTTCCTTTTTTCTGGCTGCTCCTTTCTCAGTATCCTGTGCTGATTCCTCCTTTATCTTTACCCTTGAAATGTCCTTGGACCTCTTCTCTCCAACCTTACTCACTCTCTTAGTCACCATCTCATCCAATCTCAGGGCTTTAAATACCATCTTCTGCCCTCGCCCCCAGCCCCCTCACTGAACCTGCTTCTCCTGAAATTGTTTCCTGTCTAGGATATGGAAACTTCATCTTTCTGCCAATCCCCCAAATCTGAGTCATCTTTGACACCTCCTCTTCTTTTACCCCACACAGCAGGGCATCCTGTTAGTTAAATGGTCATGTTATAGTCAGAATCCAATCTTTTTTTTTTTTTTATCACCTCCCCTGTCACAACCCTGGGCTGAGCCAGCATGGTTTCTTGCCTACAGCATTGCAAGGTCTCACTGGTCCCAGCTTCAACTCTTGCCCCTCCACAATCAATTCTTAATACAACAGCCACGTGATGTGTTAAAATATCTGATCATACCTTTTTGCTCAAAGTCTTCTAACGATGTCAAATTTCCCTGAGACAAAAAACCAATGACCTTGCAATGTTCACAAGCCTCGTGTGATCTCACCTGAATTGTTTTTCATCTACTGCTGCCACCTCAGGCAGACGGACATGAACATCTTCAGCTACAGCAGCTCCTTCGCATTCCTAGAACTCCCCAGGCATGACCCGGCCTCAGGGCCCTTGCCCCTCCTAAACAAACTGCACCCAGTTAATCACAAGGTTTGCTCCTCAAAACCCTTTATGCCTTTGCTCAAATAGTAACTTCTCAGCAAAGTCTTCCCCAAACACCTTATTTAAAATTGTGCAATGCTCTCTCTCGCCAACACTGTTTATCATCCTTTCCTGCTTTATTTTTCACCACAGCACTTATTACTATGTAACCTTCCACATTATTTTCTAATTTATTTTATCGCTGTCTTTGCCCCATCCCTAGAAAAATTATAATTAGTGGTTAAACTGTCTTCTTCATTGGAATGTAAACTCTACAAGTGCTTTGTTCACAGTTGTATCCCCAGCATCTAGCATGAATGAATGAATGAATGAATGAATGAATGAATGTATGTTCAGGATGTCATTCCTCTGAGCTTGCTTCCTAAGGGCTAGCAGGACTATGGGATGGGCATTTCAGAATGTGGTTTCCACCTGATACCAGGGCCTCCATAGATACTTGTATTGGGAGGTGGTAGGAGACCGAGGCCATCGACGTGAGCATGGGGAGCTTTCGTTTTACTGAAGGAGACGAGCCCGATCAAACATGCTGGGGAGGACTCTGGTCTCGCCCACAGCTCCGCCTTGGACTTAGAGGAGGCATTTGGTGGGGAAGCACAAGCCCCATGTGCTGTTTCTTCCAGTGCAGCTTTGTCCTCCATGCTCCGCTCTGAGTGGCCTAACCTCCCCAAGGGACCAACACCAGAGCAAGGAGTGTTAGAGCCCTCCTGTAGGTTCCACAAACAAAAAAACACTCACACCACCAAAGAGACAGGAGAGGCATTTGAGGGCATGATGGAAAAATCTGGTTATTTGGAGTCCCTACAACTGGTCATACAGCCCGTAAACAGGGAGACTGCTTTGACGCCAGGAGGCTGGAGCAGATACAGTGGCCGAGTCTCTCTCTCTCTCTCCCAGATTGGCTCACTCTTTCTTCATTTATTGGGAAATGTTGGCAATTTCTCATTTTGGCCACAGGGAGAAGAGCCTAATCAGGTAACATTTTAAATACCTGTCTTCTCACTTGCCCTCTTCATTCACTTAGGTCTTCTTACATCGTTATGCGGAGTGCTTCTTTGTCCCTAGTTTTTCCCTCTGCTCTACTTTATCTGATATGAATATAGGTACTCCTGCTTTTCTTATTAATGTTGGCATGCTATGTCTTTGCCCAACCTTTAACTTTCTATCTGCCCATGTCATTATATTTGAAACTAGAGGCCGGGTGCATGAAACTTGTGCATGGGTAGGGTCCTTAGGCCTGGCCTGCGATCAGGGCCAATCTTCCCCGGCTGCCGGCAGCTGGCCCCACCCTCCACCCCCTGCCGCCACTGGTTGCTCTCTGTCTGTGGGGCCACCAGCAGGGCGATCGGGCTCCAGCACCGCCTATGTCCACCACTACCCACCCACAGTTCCCAGTTCCCCATAGGGCAATTGGGGCCTGTGGGCTAGGGGCAGCTCCTGTGTTGAGTGTCTGCCCCCTGGTGGTCAGTGCACATCATAGCCGACCGGTCGTTCCGCCATCTGGTCAATTTGCATATTACACTTTTATGTATATAGATAAGTTTTGTATGGATAGCATAGAGTTGGGTTGCACTTTATCCATTCTGCAAATTAAAGTAATTATTGATATGTTAGTGCTTCAGTCTCCCATTTTACTTATTTTTTTGTTTCCTTTGTTTCAGTCCTGTTTCTCCCTTCTTGGTCTTGGTAGCTTACTTGAACATTTTTTTAGAATTTCAACTTGATTTATAGTGTTTTGGAGTATGTTGCTTTGTGTAATTTTCTTAGTGGTTGCTCTAGGTCAGTGGTCGGCAAACTCATTAGTCAACAGAGCCAAATATCAACAGTACAATGATTGAAATTTCTTTTGAGAGCCAAATTTTTAAAACTTAAACTATATAGGTAGGTACACTGTTATTAACTTAATTAGGGTACTCCTAAGGCTTAGGAAGAGCCACACTCAAGGGGCCAAAGAGCCGCATGTGGCTCACGAGCCGCAGTTTGCCGACCACGGTTCTAGGTATTATAGTACATACAGTAACTCATTAGTCTCCTGGTATTGATATTTTACTACTTTGAAGTGTAGACACTGTACTTCCATTTAGATGCCTTTACCCTCCCCACTTTTAAAATATAATTGTTGTATTTCCTCTACATATATTGAGCACAATATCAAGTATGCTGTAATTTTTGCTTACAACATCAAATATGATTTAAGAAGCTCATGAGGAAAAAGACAGCCTCTTAAATTTCCCCCTAATTTTACTCATTCTGTTGTTCCTTTCTGAAATTTCAAGTTATCTTATGTCTTCATTTTCTTTCTGTTCAGAGGACTTCCTTTATCTATTCTTTAAGAGGAGGTCTGCTAGTGACAAATTCTCTTAAGTTTTCTTTAACTGTATTTATTTTCCCATTCCTAAAGGTTAGTTTTGCTGGATATAGAATTCATGGTTGACACATCTGGTTATTTGGAAGCTACTGGATGGGGTGGGGATGGGGGATAGGACAGCCACAGATTTTCCATTAGCGGCGCTTGTCTAGGGCAGGAAATGTATTAATAATAAAAAAGATTTTCTGTTCTGTTAGGCAATACTTTTCCCAATCTTTTGGCTAGGGGAATAAACTTTACTTGATGCTTCATTGCCATGCCATTCAAGTCTGAATGTCCCTAGATAGTCTGTTTTCTTTCCACCTTTCAGCATCTCCCTATGATTGGTTGTTCTGTTATGCCCAGGATGTTTATAATTTAGTTGTCATAGGGAGACCTGGGAGCAATGGAGCTTCTCCATCTTAACCAGATGCCTCCTCATTAATTTATTCATCAATGGTTTTGTGAGGCCCTACTGTGTTCTGGACGCCCAGCATGAGCTCACAATGAACAAGACAGACATCCCCATCCTCATGAAGCTTACATCAAGTGGAGACAAAGGACAGTTACACACGTAATTACAACAACGTGTGATGAATGCTACAATAATGCCTCGCCATACGATAATGCATGGAATGGGACACACGAAACAAAGGAAAAGAAAACTACACAACGAGAATAAGTTGAATATCTTTCAAGCCTTGCAAGTTCATTTTCAAATAATAGATGCAATCATAAGAATAGGATTGGAAATCATTTTGATGGTCTTTGTGATTGAGCTGAGAACATTCTGAAAAGCAAGAGCTATGCTGAGAGAGCTGTCCAGACTCCACAGCTGCTAATGGTGCCTGAGCAGTGGGATTTTTTAAGAACCGAAGAGCTATCACATATAAACATGATCACATCTCTTAGCACCACTGAAGCAGAAAAGTCACCACAAAGCCCTAACTCCTGAGGGTATACACTTGGACACCACCAGTTATTGTTGGAAAGTTAATGGTCCTTCCTGGGGAGCAGAGTCTCCATTTTTGGAAAGTTGTCCTTATTTGGAAGAATATTGGACAATCTAATCCAAGAAAGTTTTGTTCCCTGGCTTATGTTTACTAAGCCAACTCGTTGATATGTTTTAGGCCCACTACACCTGGTTATGAGGAATAACTCAGAAAGCTATGCATAAACATAAAACATTTTAAGGCCAAAATGTGATCAGGAAGACTTCCCCAACACCTTGTACTATGACCATAATTACATTAAATGTGAATACACAAGTAGAATTTGGGAGACTAATTGTAATCTGACTTTGAAAGAAATTAAAGAAATAGTAATACATTTAATACATATTAGCACATACATCTTCAACCAAACAGACACAGATTTTCAATGCAATATTTCCTAAGATATAAACCAGGGGTGGGAAACATCTGGCTCGTGGGCCGTATAAGGCCTGTGAAATCATTTGGTCTGTCCCTGCCAACCCATTAGGGGTGAGTTAATTAAATGTTTGACCAAATATAGCAGCTAATTTTTAGATTAATAATTTTGTATGGACCAAGAATGATGTTATAGTATCCAAATGGCCCTTGGCAGAAAAAAGGTTTTCCACCCCTGATATAAACTAATAAAGTCTTTTTGTCTTCTTTTGACTAATATTGCAGTAAATAAAATCTAATATATTATAACTGGTGAAAATTCAACCACTAACTATTTTAGACTAAGCCATTGATTGGCAGGTCTCATGGGAGACGTTTTGGCTCCATTCATTCATTCAATTTTCATTCATTCACCCATGCTTCAGACATAATGTATTCTTAATCTGTGAACTAACAAGCCAGGCGTGGGTCATGCCACTGGTTGGCAGGCCATTGTGGAGCTTTCATGCTGCCCTTAGGGCTCCTTGAATATATGTCACTCTTAGCTCGATGAAGGCAGCTGTAAGACTTGCCTCCACTCTGAGGACTGTTAGTCGACAGAGCTGGCTCCCTGCCAACCTGACAGCTCTCAAGCCATGGGCAGGAAAGCCAACCCCATGGTTTCACATATAAATAATAATTCAAAAGATTGTATAAATTATTTGCAATTTCTACAACCCTCTGTGGCTCCCTCCTCAAGTCCCTACTAAGGACTAACATTACATGTAATCCCTAATCATAAAGTCACTATTACATGATGAGTGAGCTGGGCCAGCCGGTCACCTCAGAGGCCAGCAACCCAGGACCCCCACCCTGAGGTCCCCAGGAATGTTTATGGAAAAAGGGGCTTGATTACCAGTGCCCCTGTCCCTGGAGAGCTTGTCCTCCTTCTCCTCCCTCTCTAACGTGCTGCTGGAGGATGAGATGCTCGAGGCAGAGCAGTTGTCCCTCTCGTTCACCTCCTCGTTCCTCCTCTCCTTCTCACTGAGGGAGGCTCGCTCTTCCAGTTCCTGCTCCACTTCGCTCTCAGTCCCCAAGTGGGCAGGGGCTACTTCCTGGTTGGCATCATCGGCCACCTGCCCCACCTCCTCCTCTGGTCCCGGTTCTGGTGCAGGATCCTGGGTGCTCGCTGGTGGAGACAACAATGGAGATACAATCACAAGAGGAAGCATCAAGGATGGTGTGAGGAAGGATGTGAGCTTGATTTCTCTGTGCTTTCCTGGCAGGCAGAATTCTACAGATGGCCCCCGAGACCCCTGTCCCCTGGCAAGTCAACCAAATACAGTCTGGGCACTGCTAGGAAGGGACTGTGCAGCTGACATCGACCTTAAAATATGGAGATCATCCAGGTGGGCCTGATCCAATCCTGGAGCCTTTTGAAAGCAGGATGCTTTCTGATTAGCAGAAGAAAGAAGTCAGAGATATTAGAAGCAGGAGAAGGATTTGACACCACGCTTCTGGCTTTAAAGATGGGGAGCCATGTGACAAGGAATGTGGGTAACCTCTAAAAAGCTGAGAGTGACTCCAGGCCTACAGAAAACAAGGCATAGGGACCTCAGTTTTACAAGCCCAAGAAACTGAATCCTGCCAACAACCGGAATAAACCTGGAGGTGGATTCTTCCCAGAGTCTCCCCATAAGAGCCCAGCCAGCACAACCTTGATCATGGCCTTGAGATACCCAAGGCCAAGAACACCGCTGAGTCATGCTGGACTTCTGACCTACGAAAACTCTTGGGTAATAAATAGGTGCCATTTTGAATTGCTATTTTTGAGCTGATTGGTTATGCAGCAATAGATAACTAATACATGAACCTTCTGCCTCTCCAGGGAAAGAGAAAAAAAAATCCATGGTGAATCAAGCTGGTAAGCAAGTAGCAGCCAATGTTTTATCAGTGGCTACACCAACGAGGCTTGTCACCCTTTGCTTGAATTGTTTGCTCATAATGTAAACTAGTCCATAATTTGGAAAGCTATGTGAACAATCCCTCATGGGCACAGACTATTTGTAAACCTATCAAGACTAGAAACATGATGCCTGTCCCAAGGTAAATGCCCTGCCCCTGTGTGCCATCCTCTAGGGAGCAGGGGGTGCCACCACAGGGCTTTCTTTGCATGCTTTTGCTGACCAAACTCTCTGCTGTGGGCTGTGGATAAGTAACAAAATGATTGAGAATACAAAAAAAATCTGAGACAACTGCCACATATGAGGGCCAGAAGAGTCGGACTGGCCACCCTGAGGATCTTTGACCAGTGAGGGCACAGCCACATTGAGGGAATCTGACATTGTGCCCCAAGAGTGTGAGCTCGAGCCCTAGGCAAACACATTCAGATGGGATCTGCCCGTGGCAGGAACTGTGAGAGACCTTGCCAGACCCCATAAGAACAAGCAGACCAGGAAGCTCTCTCTCTGTGGGGGTATTGTGCCAACTCCGGTAAGCAGGGATGGCTGGCAGTGGAGTGTGCTTAGCGCCCCCAGTAGGCCTGGCAGCGGCATTACTATGAGTGAGGAAAGCTCAGCATCCCAGCAAGAACTCCTACCATGACTCACTGGGCCAGCAGCCCCACCCCTCGTCTGCTCTCAGGCTGCCTTTCTCTAGGAATGCACCAGGGAACTTGGGAGGGAGGCAGGCAGTGGGGAGGATGAGATGCCTGGGTCACTTCCAACCTCCACAGGAAGAAATACTCCTCCGTGGGAACCTCCTGTCCAGGGCCCTTCAGGTAAAACTGGGTGTAGAGGATGGAGGGCCTCTCCCTTCTGCCTGCCCGTAGCTTGATGACATGTTGTACACCTTCTGCTGGGGACCCCAGCTTAATACAGGAGCTCTTCCCTGGGAGACTGCAGGAAGGGAGGCCCGGCAGCAAAGGCCCCTGCTTTCTACCAGCCGTCCCTGCTGGGTGTCTCCAAGAGGGACAGTTATAAGAACTGGTGATATGAGGCCAAAGTTTCCGGGTAGAGATGCACTGACTGGCAGTAGCAGGAGGAAACCATAGGGCATGACCATGAACGTGAACCTACATGCCTATGAATGAGCGTGTCAGGCACTTTTCCTTAAAAGCCAAACCTGGGCTGGTACAGGGAAAGAGTGAACCCGTCTTTGAGAAACATTCCCTTTGGTGTTGAAGGAACTGTAATGGTACCTTCTCTTCATCTGATAATAGAGTATTTAGTAAAGAGATATAAAACCCTCTCTGTTTTACAAACATGGCGAAAGCATAGTTTCAGCAACAGCAGTGTCATCATTTGGTTGACAGAAAGCATCTGTTCTTGCGCACATTAACTTCAGAATAGCCACATCAAAATGAAAATGTGTTTCCAACAGCCTCGCATGTGGCATGCATTTGAGTTGTAATTGGGGAGCATATGGCGCAAACTGGTGAGGGTGCCTCCGGGTGGTTTCATTACTGACAGGGAGACGGGCGCAGTTGGCTGCCATAAGTCTGTGTCTACTCACCCTCCCCAGGAGACAGGCAAAGTAGGAAGGATCCAGGACTTGATGGTTGTTTGACTCTAGCCTACATGCACCCCACTGTCATCTCCTTTCATAGGCAGGGGCTCTGCCCTCTGATTAGCCAGCCAGTGGCTGCCTGGAGAGGTGTGGGAATGGGCATGCAAGCTCTAGGAAGCCATGTACTCTTGGGAATAAACAGTGCAATTGCACCCCCACACTTTGGGGCTTAGCTTCAAATATGGAGTCTGACGTTTATATGTGTGATCCAACACTGGGGTGGTTTCTCTTTTTCATTAGCTGAGGAGCTAGTCATCTCTGAAACTGATCAAACGCAGACTCAGTGTCCACCAGGTCTGACCACAAATCTGTGGTATGTGAGGTTGTCCTAATGATGAACAAATTAAATACTATTCATACAGACTCAAGTCAAGCAAAACCATCAATGATGGAGCGAGTGAAGGCAGAGAGCAAACACATAGCTGCTCATTCCTGACGATCTCTGTGCACATACATCCGGCAACACCTGTGGCATCGACGTAACAACAGCCTTGTTTTCAGAGGGCTCCCCACATGGCTAGGACACAGGGCATAAAAACCCATCAGCAAGTCACAGTGGTATGTGGCCAGGCACCTACGAGAGTTCACTGGATGACAAGTGACAGGAGTCCCTGGAAGGAGCAGCCAGGGTCCTCGGCTATACTGATCAAACAAGGGCAGAAGGTCCTTGAGGACCAAGACCACGCCTGCCTCTTATGTCCCAGTGCTCCTAGGCCAGCATCTGCTCACATTCTTTCTCAGTGATACTCAGGAAGCACCCTGAGAGTACCTACCAAATCCCAGATTTCTGCTCCCCTTTCCCATTACCTTTCATCAGGGACTCCCTCGTCAACACCCCCTTTCACACATACACCATCACTGCCTTTGAGTCATTGCCCCACACCAGGCCGGCTGCTCTCTGGGCAGACACAGGGAACAGTACCATCTACACTCCCCGAGTCCCCAAGAAATAGAAGAACTAAATTAGTCTGCAGGAAAAGTCCAAAAGACAGCTAAGGTATTTGCCAACACCCGGGGTGAAAACTGCTCACAACTTCCCACTGTTGCTGGTCCCAGTATTTATGAGCCTTTCTCTGGCCCAGCAGTGGTGTTGATGGTGAGAGAGACAGTGATGCAACACAGACTTGGCTCTTGTGGAGGTTACAGAGGAGCCAGGGATCCTACCCTTCTTGCCTGGCCTCTGCCCGGCAAAGGTGGGCCAAGCCTGCCACCAATGGACCCAGGGAAAGCCCAGACCTCGGCTTCCTCACAACTAAAAGTATTTATCAACCTGGCCAGTGTTGCTCAGTGGTTGAGCATCACCCTAAGAACCAGGAGGTCATGGTTCCATTCTCTGTCAGGGCACATGCCAGGGCTGTGTGCTCAATCCCCAGTAGGGGGCATGCAGGGTCAGCCGATTAATGCTTCTCTTTCATCACTGATGTTTCTCTTTCCCTCTCTTCCTCTCTGAAATCAATAAAAATATATTTTAAATATTCATCAATATTACAGCTATTCTAAGAGCAAAAGCATGATGCCCTGGAGGGTATGGTCAGGGTCTTTGGCAAGACCTGGGGTGGGATATGTGTATCTGAGCTAAAATGGCATTTAAGCAGAGTCTCCAAAGATGACAAGGAGTTAAAAGGGAGAAAGAGGACATGAAAATGTTCTGGGCAGAAGGAGGAGCGTGTGCAGAGACTCAGAGCAAAGGCTGTGCTGCAGGAATGAAAGATGCCAGCAACAGGGGCCAGGGTCACTGTAAGAGGTAAAGGCCTGGAACTTTACTCTCAGGGCCATGATGGCTGCTCAAGTGGAGACAGGCGGTGCTTCAGTTTGTCTGAGAGAAGCCCCCCTCCATTACAACTGCATCACAATCAAACTACAGGCATGTCTGCAGCTGCGAGGGAGGCTCCTAGTCCCTGTGGAGCAAACCGACAGGAGGCAAATGCTGCAGACCAAGAGGCAGAGGCAGAGGCGGGTCCATGGACTCAAGAGCAGAACGAATGAACTGCACTGCTGGGAGAACGCAGGGCAAGTGACTGCGACTCTGGACAGTGGGGTGAAGTCTTCTGTCCCAAGACCCACCGGGGAGGTGCTGTGTTAGCCTTTGGGGAAGCAGGGCATGCTGTAGGGCTGCCTGTCTGTCGGGAGGTCTTCTAATTGCCCTCAGAAAGCTGAGGCGGAGGAACCGGTAAAGGCTCAGGCCAGAGGGCCGGCAGGAAGGGAGGGGCAGGGCGGCCACTCCCAACCACACACCTGCAGCCCCATCTTCAAGTCAGTGCTCAGAAGTGGCTGTGATAAACCAAAAGGCAAGGCCTGCCAGCCTCGCCCCCACCCCACCACTTTGCCACACTTGTCCATACCCACCACACCTGCCAATCTCCTCTAACGGAGAAAGGACACAGAGATCTGGTGGTATCTCTGGGGCTGGGCAAAGGAGGGGGACTATGAGGAGTTGGGCAGGTGCCCAGGCAGCCTTTCTGCAGGCGGCTTTGAGTTTGGAAATAAAAGGAGGACATGGCAAGAAGTGCCTGGCAACATGCGAGGTGTCCAAACCTGGGATCTGTCCTTCTGGACCACGTCCTGAGAGAGCAGGCTGATGGGGGCTTGGCACTTCCAGGGGCACTTAGCCAAGGCCAGAAG